GCAGCCTATATGAATAGAATTGCATTGTTGACACTCTTTTTCTTTTCTTAGAATCTATAAGGGGTATATCCACATGCTAACCATCATCACCTTGCGGAAATAACAACACATAATGAAGGAGGTTATAGGATGGATGAGTCTCCAATATTCTTTGTAGACTTCTATCGCGCATTCTAAGAACAATATCACGATTTGTTGCATGCAGCTCATGACCATCACCAAGCATGATTGCAGCAACTTCAGAAGCTGAAGAAGCATTTTATCAATGGGGATCTTGTGTTCGATCTTCATGAATGACCATTATAATTTCATCGGGCACATTTGTTTGGATAAGATCTCTTACGCGATGAAAGTTCTGGATATACAGATTGCATTTATCCAATACGGTCAGCAGATTTTGTAGAATAGTATCGTCTAAGTTCGCCATAACGTTATGACGATGTGCATTTTCATGTACAGAGTCATAGATATATAATTACGCAAATGTCAGCTGAGAACCTTCTTCTAGTAGCAACGAATCAATACGATGATAAACTTGGCCATGAATACAGAAGTCAGAAATGCCTTGTCCTGGGATCGTATTTATATAAGCACCAAATAATGTATACGCCAAAACATTATTATAACGTCTAATATTTTTCTAGAAAGAGATTGCATCAGAGTTTGACGAAGTATACAAATTCAACAAATAAGGAGGGGATTCAACCAAATGTGGCAAACGAACTTTGTCGTGTGCACAGCAAGTCAAAAATGTAGGATATGCAAAAGAGCTATTCCGATTCTTTTCTTCCATCCAAAACTTAGCATCACAATAGATGCAGATTTGATTCATTCAGCCTAAATTATTCGTTTTATCCCATTATTTATAATTATCCTTTCACTGGTAATATTGACATTTTGCCTCTTTCTTGAACAGACTTGATTCTCTTTAGGTAAACAATTCTGACGTATACCAGATGGCTTTACTTCTTGTCTAGGTCGCAGGTGCATTTCAGGTGGGCAATTTTCATCATTGACAATTTTTCTCCTTTTTCGAAGACTGGCCTGTCTTTCTTTAGCTAATCTCTTTTGACATATTTCAGGTGACTCACTTGCTTCCGACATCAGAATAGTAAATCAGAGGGTTGGAAAAAATAATGAGTTACAGTATATACAGAAGCAAAAAATTCAAAAAAAAAATCACGATTTTAGAAATACAGGACACGCGAATAGATACTTGGTATATACTAAAATTTATTTTTAAAAGTTATGTAATCACAACATAAAATTTATTTACAAATCACAATATATAAAATTTATTTTTTAAGTTGTTAAATTTAAAAGTCATATAAATGTATACATAAAGTAATAATTTACACGCGTATATAGTTTACACCATATAGTCTAATCCAAATAATCACGTTACATACAGTTAGGTTTGTTATCCAAAAGAGAAGGTTGCACATTTGTTTATTTAATTCATTTCAAAAGGATGGTTGCACACGTATAAATCAATAGTCTAAACGTGACGGTTATACACATATAAATTAATAATCTAAATGTTACAGTTTCACACAAATTTTTTTAGTATATTATTGATTATCTAAAATACTATTAGATTTACAATTTTTTTTTTATTTTCATTAATGTACTAATTATTGTGTATTTTAAATTATGCTTTTTTAAGACTAAAATTCATTTTTGTCATATTTAGTATATTAGCTACTATTGCATTATAGTTCATAGATTAGTCAAAACAAAATACATCAATATAATCAAAATATAATATTTCAAATAATAGAAGACACATAAGCTAATTTTTATAAAAGAGATTTGTTATCATATTTTCTAATTATACTTTAATCTCAGATCTATAATTTTTTGATCTACTTTATTCTACATATGTTTTAATTTTAATATTCATCTATTATATCAAACAAAGAATAAAGTCTCTTTATTTTAATATGTGAATTTTTTTGTATTTATTCATCAAATAATTATAATAACTTATGACATAAATAAAATAAGGTGAAAACTATGATAAAGTATTTTTTGATATCTAAAGATAGAATATCTTTATTCTCTTTCATTTAGTATTTATCATTTGCGTAAAATAACATATATCATACATCATCTAAATTAACTTTTTCTTTTAGTTTAAACTGAAATTCTAAAACTATAACTATCATATTGCATCAAAAATTTTATTAAATCTTTGATATTTAAATATTCTTTTTAGTCATTTTTTTGTATTTTACTATATCTGATTATTTATATCTATTATAATAAACTTCCTTTTTTATCATATTTATATTCTCATAAATACATGTAGTTTCAGCATATTTTCTCAGAAATTATACCTTTCTTAATATAACCTATTAATTTAAAAATATCATTTTTTTAATATATATTTTTAGATTTTTAAGAATACATGACTCTAGTTTTTGTTATTATAACTATATTTGACATTCTTTCTTAAAGTCTTTATAATTTAGTAAACTTTTTAATTTTATATGTTTCTTTTGACAATAAATAAAAAACTTTTTTGTTTTTATAAAAATAAACTCACTATTTTCAAATACATTTTGCAATATGATTATATAATTTGAGTAATCTGATTACTGATATTCTTTTATTATAATTATCTAATAATAACTATATATATCTACATATATTTAGATAGTATAAATAATTATAGATAAAAATATTTTATTTATTTTTACAGATTTAGTTATTATTATTATTGATTTATTTCATCTAAATTATCTGTAGATTTCTTGTAATCTCTTTAAAAATTAAAGAAGAATTTAATGTAATTTTAAAAGATAAAAATGAAGATAAAGATGAAGGTTATGATTTTAATAATTGCAGTAAAGCATATTAATAATTTTTTAGTGTTTCTAAATAATATATCAAGAATTCTTATTCTTTTTATATTATATATTAACTTTTTTTTTTGTTCCTCTAGATTATAATTGTTGAAGTTCTATTATATATTATTCTAATATTATCTGTAATTTTCTCATACCAATAAAGAACTTTAGTAATAAACTTTTTTCACATTTTTTTAAACTCTTTTAAACCTTTTTTTGTCTAATTATTATTTATTTCATCTATTATCTAGATTTTAATAATTTTACTCTCTGTTCTCTTATCAATATTCTTATTATCTATCTATTTTTCATTTTCATCAACTTATATCTTAATTTCTGCTTAATCTTTAGATATATAACAACCTTTTTTTAAATACTTTACTAATTTACAGTTACCTTTTTATTTACGTAAAATTTAAAAAATAGTTATTTATTTATTTAAATAAATATTTTATTTATATATGAAATCTAAAAATTTTCTTATGATCATTTATTTTTCTTGTGAAAATTAATTATGATAATTCAGATCAGCATCAAATTATTTAAGTTTAGCTTAAATTATAATGATTTTTGACTAACAAATTATATTCATATAATAATATTTGTTTTAAATTTAAACAAATAATATGAAATTATTGAAATTTAAATATTTATAATAAATTTCATTTTGAAAATAAGATTACTAATTTATTTTTTTTAATTTATGTTATTTTTAATGTTAAAAATCTTTAAAGTATTATAATTTATTGTTTAATAAGACTTTTAGTATCATAAGCATAAAAATTAAAATATTTTTATTTAATTAAATTTATTAAATATTAAAATTTTATTAATAATAAAAACCTAATATAAATTCATAAAATCATAACAAAAATATTACCAAAATTCACTGATTAATTTCCTATTAAAAAATAAGTAAAAAATAATAATAATATAATAATATAATAATAAAAATGTAATATATTTTCTTTTAAAATATTTCAAAATTATTCTAAATATTTATTACTATAATATAATTATTATTAAAAAAAATATAATTATAAAAATATAATCTAAAATTCTTCAAAAATGTAAAAAATAATAAAAAAATAATAAAAAATAAAATATCTATCCTTTTATCAAATTACTTAAAATTTATTTTTTTTTTTTATTATAAAAAGTAAAAATCAGTTTATTATTTAAAAAATTAACTAGTTAATTAATAAAATCAACTTAAATTTTAGCTTTTTTTTTTGTTTGATTTTAATATTAGAGATATTTTTGTAATTTTGTTTTTATTATAAAAAGTAAAAAAATTAGTTTATTATATAAAATTTGATTAATTGATTAATAAAATTTAACTTAAATTTCAGCTTTTTTTTGTTTGATTTTGATAGTTAGTGGCATTTTAGTAATTTTATTTTTATTATAAAAAATAAAAAATTGATTTATTATTTAAAAAATTGATTGGATGATTAATAATATATAAAAATTATTAATTATATATAATGATTTTTTATCTTTTATATTTACTCTTTATCTAGTAATTTGAAATTTCTATATTTATTTATTATATATTATGCAAATTTATTAATAAAATTATTTATAAATTAATATATATTAAAATTAAAAAGATATATTAATAGTTGTAAGAGATAATAACTTAATCACAATATAAATTGGTAATATATATATAAGAATAAATGTAAATATGATATCAAATTTTACTCTTATATAGTGAAAATTAAATAAAATATTTTTTTAAAAAATAGCTTAATCTTTAATCTATAGGCATTATTGCTTAAGAAGAATATTCTAGTTTTTAAATAATTATAAAATTTAACTTTTAAATTAAATTAAAAATTCTTTATACTTTAAAAAATTTACACTAATATTTTATAGGATCTATTAGTATATGATTTTATGTAGAAATTGATCTTTATATGTTTTTAGCTATAAAAATAAATTACTTTATTTTATAAAAGAATTTATTAAATCACTTGATAAGAAAGTTTATCCTTAAATATACTTTTTTAAAAAAGAATATGTCTTGATATATAAATAATATCAATCATTTCAGCCAAATTTAAACTTTTAAGTTAGAACTACTTTAAAACTAATTAGCATAAAGCAAGAATCTAAATTCTATAATCAAGAAGTTAACAAAATGGTTAATATTTCAAATGACATAAAAGTTAATTTTAAAATATTAAAAGAATATCATTATTTACATGATTTAAAAATAAATCTTTACCTTTGAAATATAAAATCCATAATAAAAGATTAAATGTCTTAATCTTCAAAATTAAATACATCAATTTTTCCTCTTTATATTCAATTATTTTTTCATTATGGAAGGTTCAATTTTAATAAACAATAGAACTTTAATAATAGATACTTGAATTCAATTTTATTCAACTAGAAAATAATAATTAATATTAATAAATAAATTATAATTTTAGTGCAAATTGTATAGACAAATCGTTTCAGTCTATTGGAAAGAATATAAACAATAACTTACTTTTCATTTAGTAGACGATCTAATATTTTCTTACTTTCTATTATCTATCAAATAATAATATATAAAAATATATATAAATATAATATATAAATTAAATAATCTAATATTTGAAACTTTATAATAGAATGATATCTAAGATAAAAATAAACATATGAATTAATTTTAGATATAAATGTCATATTTCTAGCTTCTTGATTTTGATGGATAAGTAATAATAAAAAGAAAAAATATTGACAGATTTTATATTTCATCTTTTATAAGAGCCTTGCAATCAATGTTGAAAACAAAGTGAATTTTTTGTTTTCTGTTCAATATAAAACTTTGAACTTTTGGAAAAATACCAACTCTTGAATTTCAATATTATTAACCATTTCTTCAGCTGAAATTACTAAAACAAGCCTTATACATAGTACCTTTTCAACCACTTTTGTAACTAGGCTGTTTTACTTATTTGCTATGCAGGATTTGAATACAATGGAATGCATTATAAAAAAGATATCTCAAATTCAGAGCTTAATTAATATCAGATGTCTCTAAAACTTTATCAAACGCGATGAGAAATTCTAAATTTAATAATCACATACCCCCAAATTTAGCTAACTACCCAAATTAACGATTGCATTCTGACATGTTAGGGAAAGATTTGTCCCCCTTTGTCATCATTTTTATTACTTCTAAATAAGGAAATCATATAGTAATGTCATCCCTTATTACGTCATTTCTTTTATTATCAATAACCTGAGATTATTTTC